ACTATCACCATAAGCGGCTATTTTCCACACCTCCTATTTCCAGCCCACTTTCCTGAGCTTTGGCCCAAATATCCAAGTCTGTTGTTCAAACACTACCACTAGATTTCCCCCTTCATTCTTTCAACTTGCCCTTCTTTCCTGACATACAAGGCCCTCCAGGATCAGAGGCCCTTTCCTCATGCTTCCTCTGCCTAGAAAGTACTTCCCACCTTTGAACAATTATTCATCTATTAAGACTCAACTCATTACTGGAGGGGAAGAGGGTGGGAAAGGGTGAGTAAAAGGGGTAAAGGGGCACATATATATGGTGATGAATAAAAACTAGACTACTGGTGGTAAGCATGATGCAATCTATACAGAAACTGATATATAATAATGTACACCTGAAATTACACAGTGTTATAAACCAATAAGACCTCAATAAAATAACTAAAATAAAAAAGACTCAATTCAAAGATTGCCCATCTCCTTCCTGGTTCAAGAAACTTTTCCTGACCTCCTCCTTTCCCTTACCTTCCCTTGGATAGACTTACTCTCTTTTTGCGCCCAACTACACATTTTATAGATGTCCACTGTAGCACATTTAACAGTGGAGTCATAACACATGAGCATTTAACTTCCCTGCATTCAACCACATAAACTTAGCAAAAACAAAACACCTATGAAGGTCATCATATGTTCATGTAAAGTAGGAGTCATTATGCTTTTCCCAATGTGAATATCCCATTGTGTCAGAGTCTAGTATGTAAATATACTTTTTGTACAGTTATAGCAGTAATTTTGTGCCCCAGGGGACATTTGGCAATGTCTGGAGACATTTTTGGTTGTCACAACATGGGGGGAGAGTGTTACAAGAATCTAATGGGTAGAGGCCAGGGATGCTACTAAATGTTCTACAGTGCACTGGACAGCTCCCTATAACAAAGAATTACTCACTCCAAAACGTCAATAGTGCTAAGGTTAAGAAACCCTGAGTTAGAGTGATCTTTCTAAAGAATAAATAAAGGTCACGTCATTCCCTTGATTAAACTCCTCCAATAGCTTCCCACTGGAACCAGAATAAAGTCCAAACTCCTGGTCATAGTCTATTAGGCCCTGCCTACCTCTCTGATCTCATCCCTCCTCACCTTCCTTCTCAATCACTACTCTGGTCAAAGTGGCTTTCTGTGCAAACATACCAAGCTTGTGACCAAATACACCAGAGATTCTCAGATCTTTGCACTTGTTGTTCCTTCTACTATGTTCTTCACTGTATGTATCATCTCAAATGTCATCCATCTCCTCAGAGAGGTAGGTATTCCCTGAACATTGTAGCATTAGTAGCTGCCACTGCCACCACCACCACTACCAGTTATACACACTCATTCCCCTACTTAATTTTCTTTATAACACTTAAAAGCATCTGAGATTCTGTCTTTACTGTTTGTCTCCCTCACTAGAATGTGAGCTCCTTGAGAACAAGCATATCCCTAGAGTCTAGTAATAAATGCTCAATAAATATCTGATTGACTACAACACAGCCCCCAAAACCCAAGCCAACTATTTCATCTGGTGATCAACTAAATAAACAAAGATTTGTTTTGAATACTGGAGGAAAAACAAACTCTAATAGACCTGTTGAGAGGAGGATATGTTGGAATCTAATGTAGTGCTATCCTAAGAGATTTTCAATGTAGTTTTGAAAATACAATTTTTTTCACTTCATTTGCTTACTTTAAAAATATAACTCCATTACATTGCTCTTGCTTACGTCAGTCTTCTATTAAACTGTAAATACTTTAAGGGCAGAAGCCATCTTAGAATCCTCAGCATTTAGCATGAAGCTAGGCATTTAGACTTTCAGGTACTACCATTACTCTTCTACTAAGGTGGAAATTTTTGTGTCACCTGTTACTGCGTGGTTTCTGTCTCTTGATAAGAGTCTGATAGATATGTCACCCTTAATCCATCACAATCAGTAACCAAACTCAAGAGATTTTACTTTCATGTTCTACCTATAAAATGTCACTACCTACTTATTTACTTTGTTATAGCTAGAAATTACCTCCTTTCCATGCCCACTACTATCACCTTAGCTGACATCCGATTATCATGCCTGAACTATGACAATAGCGTCCCAACTATTTTTCCATCATCAAACCATCTTACACAGTACTGCCAGTTCCATCTGTTTATGTTGCTAAGTAAAATTCAAAGTGGTATGTATTCAATAACAGCTACCATTTATTAAGTACATACTATGTGCTAGGCAGTATGTTAAGCAATTAATATTCTCATTTTATATGTTCTCTAAGATTGAAAAAATTTTTTTGGCAATAGCTTTATTGATATAATCCACTCATACAAAGTGTACAATTCAATGGTTTCTAATACATTCACAGAGTTGTACCATCACCACAATCAATTTTAGAACATCACCCCAAAAATAAAGCCCATACCATTAAGCCATCACCCCCAAAACCTTCACCCTCCTCATCATTATGCTGCTACTAATCTACTTTCTGTCGCCATAGATTTGCTTATTCTGGACATTTCATGTAAGTGCACTTATACAATATGTGGTCTTTTGTGACTGGCTTCTTTCACTTAACATGAACATAGGTGAACATGTTTTCAAGGTTCACCCATGTTGTAGCATGAATCACTACTTCATTCCTTTTTATGACCAAATATTTCATTACAGTGGATATACCACATTTTGTCTATCCATCAAGTTGATGGACATTGGTGTTTTTTTTTTTCACCTTTTGGCTATTAGAAATAATTCTGCTATAAATACGTGTGTACATATTCTCATTTCTCATGGGTACATACTGAGGAGCAGAATCTCTGGATCAAATGGGTAACTCAATGTTTAACTTCTTGAGGAAATGCTAGACTGTTTTCCAAAATAGTTGTACCACTCTATGTCCCCACTAGCAGTGTATGGAGGGTTGCAATTTCTCTACATCCTCATTAACATCTGTTATTATCTTTTTGACTATTGTCATGCTAGTGGGTGAAATGCTATTTCACTATAGTTTTGATTTGTATTTCCTGATGACTAATGATGTTGAGCATCTTTTCATGTGCTTATTGATCAATTGCATATCTTCTTTGGAGAAACATCTATTCAATCCTTTGCCCATTTTTTAAATTGGGTTATTGTTCCTTTTTTTTATTGAGTTGTAACTGTTCTTTACATATATTCTGGATACAAGTCCCTTATCAGATATATGATTTATGAATATTTTCTCCCATTCTTTTCACTTTCTTGATGATGTCCTTTGAAGCAGAAAGCTTTTAAATTTTTTTTAAAAGATTTTATTTTTCCTTTTTCTTCCCAAAGCCCCCGGTACATAATTGTGTATTTTTAGTTGTGAGTCCTTCTAGTTGTGGCACGTGGGACGCTGCCTCAGCATGGCTTGATGAGTGGTGCCATGTCCGCACCTAGGATCCGAACCTGCAAAACCCTGGGCCACAGAAGCAGAGCGTGTGAACTTAACCACTCAGCCACGAGGCTAGCCCCCAATTTTTTAATTTTGATAAAGTCTAATTTACCTGTTTTTATTTTGGTTGCTTATGCTTTTGGTATCATATCTAAGAAACCATTGCCCAATCCAACTTCATTAAGATTTACCCTTATGTTTTCCTCTAAGAGTGTATAGTTTTAGCTTGTTAGGTATTTGATACATTTTGAGTTAATTTTTGTGTATTGTATGAGGTGAGAGTCCACCTTTATTCATTTGCATGTGGATATCCAGTTGTCCCAGCAGCATCTGTTGAAAAGTCTGTTCTTTTCACATTGAAATGTTTTGGCACACTTGTCGAAGATCAATTGACCATAAATGTAAGGATTTATTTCTTGATTCTCAATTCTATTTCATTGATCTATATGTCTATCCTATGCCAGTACCACATTGTCTTGATTACTGTTGCTTTGTAGCAAATTTTGAAATTGGGATGTGTCAGTCCTCCCACTTTGCAAACATTCTCATTTAATGCTTAATGTAACTCTGGGTACTAGGCATTATTCACATTTTACAGATGAGGAAACTAAGGAAACTTGGAGAAGTTTAGCTTTCCTATGGGCACAAAAATATTTGGTGGTTGTCCTAGGATTCATATTCAGAACTATATAAATCTAAAGGTAACCAGTAGGCTATGCTTCTTCTATAATCTGGTCCCAATCTACGTTTCAGACTTAATTTATACTAATCCCCCAATGTACTCTAAAATATTTCCATGCTTTTCTGCCTCTGAACTTCTGCTCCTGTTGTTCTTTCCATCTGAAATGCTCTGCCCTCCATCTGTTGCATAAAATTCTAACTCACAAAACCTTCACCATCACTTAGCAAAGTGATCTCTCTTTTCACGCTATTCCCTTAGTACTACAAGCCTCTCTCATGGTTCTTATTCCACATTACATCTTGTAATAAAGGTAACTATGTATACATATTATTTCTCCTCCTAGGTTAAGAATAAGGACCATATCTTATTCACCTTTGTATCTCCTCAAAGCCCTAATACAGTACCTTTGACATAGTAGGTACTAACTGTCTTGAATGAATAAATGAATTCTAACATTATCCCTATCAGAATGGGCAATAAGAATGTATATATGTATTAGGGTTGGAGGTGGAGGCTTGAGGTCATGGAAGGTTGCAGGAAAGAATACCTAGGGAATATCCTAATCCTGAGACTATGACAAAAGAAGGATGACGTGGAAATAGGGTATGGTAAAGTGGAGGCCCAAACAGAGAGCTGATGTTTATCACTCCTTTGGCAAGAGAGAAACTTTCATTCTTCAGGTGTTGTGTGTAGACAAGTAATACATGCCAGTGAATAGGAAATAAGATAAAACAAGTGACTTAAGCAGCCCCAAATTGAGCTTACTGCAGTATAGATCAGGTGATAACAAGTAACTCCAGTATAGTAAAGTCAAGTCTGATATACCCTGGGATATCTAAAATACAACACCAGGACAAAAAGCTGCTCTAGGGTCAGAAGTCCCCAGGAGAAAATAGGAAATTGAGACATTTATCTCAAAAAAGCCAGGAAATAGAACAGTGTGCCAATCCTCACAACCTCCTCCCTGTTCCCAACCATTTCTCTGACTTGCCCATTCTCACACCACTTCAAGTCATTAACACTTCTCCATTTTTTAGCCCAAACTGCTGGATAAGAAGAAAGTCTTTTTCAGAAGAATAAGGTGCTATTCTTCTCCTTGGTGCCATCTGGTTCAAGTCAAAAGGTATAACTTTCTCATAAAGGAAACAGTTAGAACTCTACGCTTTGGAAAGACTGACATCAGGGCCTCTTGCCATGCAATAAATCTAGAATGCTGTCTCTAGAAGGCACTTGTGGCTAACTTCTTAGAAATGAGTCACATAATACAGGAGCTCCCATTCAGCTTAGAATCTTTACCTGGACAAGTGAAAAGGTTTAGAAAATAGTGGGTTTCAAAGTTGGCAACAACCTGGCATCAGCAGGGTAATTTCATCACAATCTCTCCATTTTCTAGACATCCAGTCAGGATCTGGTTAAGCTATTTAAACCCCACCATCTACTTTCTCTTCCAATTGCCTTTTATCCAGCTGGCAGGAGCTTCCAAGAAACATGATATAGTAGGCACTGCAGTATACGGGCTGCTTGTTGGGATTGGAATAGACCTGTTCAGGTTTGAGAGATGCAAAAGGGTTAGCTCCATAGGCAGTGATGTGTGTATCCAGGTCCACTAGAATCTGCAAAGAGGCTGCCAACTCCTGATGGCTATAAGAGACAGATAAGAAAAATTGGCCTGCTGATTATGAGAGAGAGAGGAGAGAAACTGCTCAGAACTTGACATTTCTAAACTCAGCGATCCCAAAAACTACCTCAGGCTAGACTAGGCAAGAGCTAACCCTCCCTTCCAAATGTCTCACTAATTATCCAATTAACTAGCACAGTACTTTGTTCCAAGGGGATGAGAATGTCAACTAGGAGAAGGAAGAAAATCTTCACCAGAAGGCAGATGAGCAAAGGGGAGAGAAATGAGCTCATCTATATAAAGATAGGTGTGAGTGAATCAGGGAGGTATCACAAATAGGAAGAGGTCAAAACCTGTAAACAGTAATCAACGTAGGGATCTCATAATCACGAAGTAGCAGGAGGGTGGGCAGCCAAGCCTCCATCAAGTCTGGGGAAGCATGGAAACCTATGGAACAAAAATGGCAATGGGAATAGAGAGAGGAAAGGCTTAGGTAGACCCTAAGCAAGATACTTCTTTGTGTCCACCCCACTCCTCACCTTGTTTACCACCATCACCCACCCCAGGTTCTTCAATGGAAAATTCTGAACATAGGTGTAGCACATACGGCTAATGACCAACCAAGGTCATCATTATATTGTTTTACATGACCAAATGAATGAGGTTCCAAAGATAGAAGACACAAGAGTCAGGACAGAAAATTCCCAGAGAAGCCACCCAGTGTTCCCTTGAACCAATGCCTCTTACCTGGATGGAATGCCACCACCAAATCTGGACGGGCTATCTGCCCAGTCTCTACCTGCTCCTCCCAGAAGTCATGATAGAGGCCCTTATGGCCACTAAGCTGAACTGTGCCAGGTTCCAAGGGTGAAGTTGAGGTGCTCTGTAAAAAGCCAGCAGCTATGTCTACACCCACCATGATTACATGGAGGCCAAGGTGTCCAGGAAACATGTAGCTAAGCTCATCATAGTCCCCAGGGCGAGTGAGGAATGTCTCCACATGGGAAGCACCAACCACATGCACTGTGCTTCCCCCAATCTTCCTAACATCTATCCCCAAGGCCCGAAGCCCAAGGCCCAGTGTCAAGGGCCGTGACAGGGCATCTGTCAGCAGCCGCTTCAAAGAGCTCTGCAGGACATCTGGGTCTGGCCTTGGCCGTCCTACACTGGCCCAGAGGGTGGTCATGGCATGACTACGTAGCACAGCATCCAGTGCAGCATCTAGTTGTAAATGCCGCATAGAAAACCAGGTGTCCCAGCCCTGTACAACTTCAGCCAGCCATGGCCAAGGTCCTGAGGGTAGGACAAAATCACCTGCAGGAAAGAAAGAATAAGTAATGACCTAATCCTTCCCTGGCTTCAATATTCCCTCCATGTCCACTCTCCCAACGTGTGACCAGGAGTGCCCCACTCCCCTGCCCTACCCAGTTCCTCATAACAATATGCTTTCCTATCTTTCCCCTAGTATGACTAACTATGACCATTATGACAAAGTTCCCCAAAACCACCACTCCACCTGTGACCAAAAGCCATTCCATGAGACGATCCACAGCTACAAGACGCAGCTCTTGACAAACCCTCCTGTGTGCTGGCTGGTCTGACCTCTGGCACTCTGGACCACAGTAATAGACATTTCTGCACCTGAGAGAATGAGTCCCAGAAATAATGTTCCTATACCTCAAAGGTGATTGGGAGAGTCTTTGGGAGGGAATTAATATTCCTGCACCTAGGAAGAAAGATCACTGAGTAAGGAAGGTAGGGAGAGGAATAATAGCTGATGCACGAAATTTGGGGACTATTATTGGGTAGGTGACGCAATAGAGACTGGGAATGTAATTATCTTCTTGGGTCAGAGTGACAACTCAGTCTCTTTCTGGAACAACTTATTTTTTACATCCCTGACGGAAAAAACAACAACAACAACAACAAAATCAGGAGTTTGTAGCTGCCCTCTTATCACAGGTATGGCTCAACCCCAACCTCCCTAGAATAGATATGGTTTTACCCATTGAGTACTCAAGAGGAGGGAGGTAGAGAAGATTGTACTGTGGTCTCTGTCTGACCTTTCCATAACATGAAAAATGAGGAGCCCAACCCTTTTCTAATCTCTCTGTGGCCTGAATCACACAAAATGAGGAGTTGGCCTTAAGTTATTCTGAAAACTCTCAGAACTTTCCTCCAGCAATGAGGTCTTAGAACAGGATCATTTCTGGATATCTCCCCTATTAGCCCCCAACTAGTCACCTCTTGCACTGCCGGAGGACCTTGGAGTCTGAGAGGCCACTAGGGAGTGCTCTACAGTAAGCACAGAATCGGAATGTGTCCTCCATCTTCTGGAACATTTCTTGAGGGCATCGAAATCCAAAGCCTGACACAGGAGTACCCCCATCTACCACCAACCTGCAAAAGACAGCATGGAGAAGGAGTGATAATAGGAAAAAGAATATCTCCAAAATCTCTCATGAACCCTACCTTGCCTCCTATATATTTCTACCTACTCCCATGTAACCTACTCCCATCATTTCTCACTTAAGCAAATTATATTTGTTCTATAGTAATAAAACTAGCAAAAGTTAGGATGAGAAAATCCCTCACTCCAAGAACCCCTCATTTGTATATTCTCCAAGTTACTCCCTCCCTACCTTCTGAAATCACTTCTACCGGAGATAATATATCACTCTCTCATAGAGCTAGTCACTCACTTGTATTCTTCATAGCTTTTCATGTTCAGCTTTTGAAGGATCAGCTGGGATAGGCCAGGAACATTATTCTCCAAGGAGAAGAAGCCAAGTGCATCAATGCTAGGGCCAGGTTTTGAGAGGGTCACAGGCACAGAGGTCACAACTGTGGGTGGGGTCACAACCATGGGAGTCACTGATGAGGGAGGTTTCTTGTGCCTTCGTCGCCGGGACCGTGGAGCCATGGCCTGTCCACTGATATCTGGGGACTATATATAGAACAGATATGGAATGGAATTTCACAAGCTGGATATGTGTTTTCAGATGTTTGACCTTTTACTTCTCATTCCAGTCTCTCAGATCCCAGTATCAGTAAGATTTATTTAGTATCTACTGACTAGAATTGATCACCACAGGCAGTTGTGAAAAATAGTGAGGAATAATTATATATAATTATACATATATGTGTTACATATGAAGTTCCATATATAATATAAATATATAAGTAAATAAATGCATATAAAAAGTTCTGTAGGGACCATATAAAACCAATAACAGTGATTAACTCTGAGGAGAGGAAGAGGCACTGGGATGAGAACTGGGTTGATTAAAGTGGACTTTAGATTTATCTGTAATGTCTGACTTTTTTATACAAAGAATAGATTCACATATTATTAGTGTATTTTAAAAATCAACTTGAAAGAGAAGAAAAAGCAACAGAAGTTTTGGCTGTCCAAAACTACCATCTAGTTGGAGAATTAGTCAATCTAATCTAATTGGGGAAGTAAAACATTCATTTTAAAAGACCTATCGTCACATTTATAAGCAATAAACCAAGAAGTAGAAATTAAATGCAAGACAAAATGAGCACCACAATGCTGAGTTGCATAGTCAAAGCAAGTTACGCAAATTATGAGGAAAATTTCCTAAAGTAGTGAGTTTTGAAGTAGAACTAAGCCCACACCCACCCACTACCTAGCAGGAACTCTATGATGTCCTCTTTCCCTGGCTTGACTTCTCCCATTCTTTCCACAAGGACTGAGTAAACAAAAGGGACGATATTGGAAACAATAAAAAATACATTCATTCAACAAATATTTATTGATAAACAGATAAAATCATTTGCAAAATACTACAATGGAAACAAATATGAAAAATATACTTAACATCTAAATGTCTTATAGAGGAATTAAAATTACAAATATAAAAATTATAAAAATTATAAATTATAATAGAAGGTAGTATATAAATCCTATAAGAAAAGTGAAACTGAAACACTAATGAAAGATCAGAAGAAGAGAGTCTCTTTAGTTGGTGAGGTACAGGAAGACTTTATCAAGCAGGAAGCAGTAGGAATAGACCATGAAAGATGCTAATACTTTTGAATACATAAAGATAAGGAAAAAGGAATTCTAAGCACAGAGAAGAGCATGAGAATAGAAATGTAGTTGGGGGGCCAGCCCGGTGGCGCAGCAGTTAAGTTCCCATGTTCCGCTTCTAGGCAGCCCAGGGTTCACCGGTTCAGATCCCTGGTGTGGACATGGCATCGCTTGGCAAAAAGCCATGCTGTGGTAGGCGTCTCATGTATAAAGTAGAGGAAGATAAGCATGGATGTTAGCTCAGGGCCGGTCTTCCTCAGCAAAAAGAGGAAGATTGGCAGTGGTTAGCTCAGAGCTGATCTTCCTCAAAAAAAAAAGAAAGAAAGAAATGTAGTTGGGAACATTCTGGGAATTAATGAAATAGAATGGTTTGGGTATGATTATTAAGTCTAAAGACCTAAATGTAAGAGCTAAAACTATAAAGTCTTAGAGGAACACATAGGGGAAAAGCTTCCAATTGGATTTGGCAATTTCTTGGATATGACACCAAAAGCACAGGCAACAAAAGAGAAAATAGATAAATTGGATTACATCAAAATCAAAAAATTTTGTGCCCTAAAGGACAGAGTGAAATGGCAACCCACAGAATGGGAGAAAATACTTGCAAATCATATCTGTTAAGAGATTAATAACATCGAATATGTGAAGTACTCCTACAACTCAACAACAAACCACCCAATTAAAAAATGAGCAAAGAACTTAAATAAATATTTCTCCAAAGAATATAGACAAATTGTCAATAAGCACATGAAAAGATGCTCAACATCACTAAGCATTAGGAAAATGCACATCAAAGCCATGAGATACCACTTCACATCCATTAGGATGGCCATAATTAAAAAAACAGAAAACAACAAGTGTTGACAAGATTGTGGAAAAACTGGAACCTTCAGGTACTGATGTAGGAATGTAAAATGGTGCAGCTGCTATGGAAAACAGTATACTGGTTCCACAAAAAGTTAAATGTAGAATTACCATAAGACCTAGCAATTTCACTCTTAGGTATAGACTCAAAATAACTGAAAACAGGTACCCAAACAAATGCTTAAAACAAATGTTCATTAGCAGTACTATTCACAAGAGCCAAAAGGTAGAAACAACCCAAAGGTCCATCAACAGATGAAGTAATAAACAACAACAACAACAAAATATATATATAATGTAATTATTCAGCCATAAAAAGAAATAAAGTACTGAGATACACTACAACGTGGATGAACCTCAAAAACATTATGCTAAGTGAAAGAAGCCAGACACAAAAGGTCACATTATATGATTCCATTTAAATGAAATATTGAGAATAGGTAAATCCAGAGACAGAAAACAGATTCATGGGGCTGGGTGGAAGGGGGAATGGAGAATAACTGCTTAATGGTTATGGGATTTTCTTCTGGGGTGATGAGAATGTTTTGAAACTAGATAGACGTGGTGGATGCACAACAATGTGAATGTAACAAATATTATTTAATTGCCTACTTAAAAGGATTAATTTTATGTTAATTTTCCTTCAGTTGAAACAAAGGAAAGAAAGAAAGGTACCAATAGAGACTGAAAAGCTAAAAAATTAACCCCCAGCTTAACTGCCTCCAGGGATAGGTAAATGACAGAGGATAAAAATGCTGACAGTGGTTGGTTTTACTGTGAATGAAGTTAACTATTAAAAAGTTCAAATCAGGGATCATGTTTTGTTACAAAAATAGTCTGATATTTAATCCTTCTGGACCAGATCTGTTAGGAAAAAACCTGCAAGAATCATCCAGCTAATATCTATTATTTTATACCATGGCTCTTGCAAACCCCTGTGCTCAGGTTAATGGAGGAACTAATTTATATTTTCCTTTATACTTTCTTTCTCCTTATCCTTTCATTCTACCCCTTTAATCTCTCCCCTTGTCCCACTGATGAATGGATGGTTTCGGAGCCAGCAGAACAGAGATAGCTAAGCTCATCTGCATACCATATCTTTTTTGTTCCCACCAATAAAGAAGAAATTAGACCTAAAGTCAGTAGATTATTTTAGGATTTAAGGGTCATGTCTCTTTATTAAAGGGTGCCTTCACACCTTAGGACTCCTTTTCCTAAAACTGACCTGACACCATACATTCTCATCACATTTCCAGAATCACTGTGATTCTAGAAGCAGCATTTATCTGCTCTGTCTACCCAGCTCCCTCAGGCAAGATAAGACCTTCTTAAACTGAAAGAATGGACTCATCTTTTCTTTTTAGGTATGGAGGAAAAGTATCCGGATTCAAGACAACTCAAGAGTCTTAACCAGATGTAACAATAAATATCTTCCTGATGTTTAACCAAAAGCCTTTATGCTGTAATGGAAGCCAAGTAAGACCAGAAAGGTACTGCCTCACTTAGCTGCCTTTCCAAAGAGAGGTCTTCCTCCAAGGGAAGATTAACTCTTGGCTCTCTGGGGGCTGGTTCAACTCGCTAAAATTCAACAGATCACACAGCTTGGAGACGAGTAGTGCTGGTAAAATCTCTGATGTCATAGTTTCTTGTGTCTACAGCAAGCTCACAATACAAATGAACTAAATTTCTGACAGTAAGGTAAGAAGGTGGGAATGAGGAGCCAGGTCTTTGCATTTGCATCTACATATATCATCAGGCTCATGTCTGACTTTGTATATCCCAGGCCCAGAGGCAGGTTCCCTGGTCCTAACTTTCCTGCAGTGAGCCCCAAGATCCTCTAAATTCAAGGCAGGGGTGGGGCATGGGAAACTGAAGAGATACAAAGGCAAAAAACTGACGGGACAAGGGAGAAGTTGGAAAGAATTAGAAAACTTTCAGAATTTTCCAGAGTTCAGAGTCTACCCCACCTCGAAAGGGAATCGCTTTAACTTTTTTCTAACCATTCCCAGTGACTAAGACAGAGAACACCAACACCAAGGACTGGAGAGGAGAGGAGACATGAACTGGATGCCTAGAAAAATTCTTATCCTTCATCTCCAAATTCCCTAAAATATTAGCCTAGTCCCAGACCTGGATCTCTCATATTTCTTCCTCCTTACCACCAAAAGCCTCAAGTTTCACCTAAACCACAGTCATCTTCTCACCATCTCCAGATCAGGAAGGTCCATCTAATTTTCTCTAACTCACCAGCAAACACAAAACATCTTTGGGGAGGTGGGGAAGAGAAGGTGAAGCGAAGTTAGTCATTGGGGATTCTCAAAAGGGGTTGGGAAAGAGAAAGAGAAAAGGAGAAATATATTAGGAACATTGCTATTACGAGCACATTCAGCTGCTTAATCAGTGATTAACACTCCCTAGGGTGATAAATGCTTTACTCAACTATAAACTAAGCAAGCAGACGAATGATGGAAAAGTAACTTACCCTGCTAAGCCCTCGGCTTCCTTCCTGCTCGTTCTTCCAAGTGAAGTGAATGCTTGATCTTCTCAGGTCTAGGTTGTGGCTGACTTGCAGCTGTCCTTTCATATCACTTTCCTTTGTAAACTGCTGAAATGCTGAGTCTCTGTCATTAGGTGTGCCCTGCCAACCAGACAGACTACGCTGAATTCTCCCTAACGAGGCAAGTAGGGACCTGGCCCCCTGCCTGTGGACTTGTCTCTTTCTGACCTTCCTTCTCTGCCAGGAAGGCTCAGAACTCTCTCAACACTCCTGAACTCACCCAAGACCAGGCAGGCTGAGGAAAAATGAAGCCTACTGTTTCCTGAACCCCTCTCATTAAGGCAGTATTTCTATTTTCAGGCCAGAGCATCAGGAAAAAACCCTTGGGATTAGTAGGCACTAGCTCAGAGGAACAGGAACCCCTGGAGTTCTGGATGTCAATCTAGACCCAGGATGAGTTCCCCCAAGCTCAAAGTCCTTTTTAGCATAACAAACACTGCTCAAACACAACTCAACAATGACCAATCTAGGCTTAAGCACAAATATAATAACCAGGAAAGGAAAATAGAAATGGTTACTTAATGGTATAGAAGGAAATCAATTTTAGGGGAAACATCCAGAATTAATTTGTAAATTTCACTTTCCCTGAAAGGAGAGCAAGATACTTTCTGAGTCATTATAATCAGGGGCACTCCACTTGTCTGTGTATTTCAAAAGAGGAATAAATATTTCTGGAATATTAAAGTAAGCAAGACCAAAATATTAAGGACTAAAAATGCATACTATTTCTAGGAACAGAAAATAGAAAAGAATCAACCCAAACACCTTCTCATTTCTTCCTGTAATAGATGTGATCCATCCACATTCCAGGCTCCTTTTCACTTAGAACTGTCAAGCTCCAGAACCTATCAGAAGTTGTTAGGGTAGTGGTTCCATATGGCTGCAAGACCTGACTTTTTGCTTACATCGGGCCCCAGCTATGTCACTTACCTGCTTCTGTGAACATCCTCAAACTGGGGAACAGAACCACTTGCAAAGAGGTCCTGGAATGTGACAAATCAAATCTACATATGAACAGATGCAGAGAATGGATTTCAAAGGAACCCCAAATTGTAGAAAGCACAAGCTACAAGCAGGGAAGGTGAAAGGAAAGTGTTAAGGATGCAACAAAACATTAGATAACATTATGTAGAATAGCTGTGGACAAAGGAAAATCACTTGCAACAGACAAAATTCCTGAATAAAATAGGGGTGATTCATTTAAGCAAAGGCTTCACGCCAATTTCAAATTTAACTGGCAGAACATGTAAAGGTTATGATTTCTGTTAATAATGGCTGAACTGCAGAAGGTATAAGAAGTCAGAGATTATCTTTTCTAACTGAAGAGTGTCACCTTTGAATATAAGAGGAGATAATACATAGAAAAAAATTTGATACTGAATATTAATTTACATTTTCCCATCACTACTACTTGTCTGGCAGACATTTAAATTTACAATTTAGAAAGATCTGAACTTCTCACAATTTGCATTCATCATGAGTTACACTGAAAAAAAACCTTAAAAAATACTTTTATAGTTGATTGCGAAACCAGTTATGAAGAAAGCCTACAAAGAGGTTTCTATTCAACAAGGAGGAAGCGGTCTATGAGGCACTGCTACCACCCTTCACATGTGCCACTTTTTCTGAGTTCCGTTCCTTTCTTTTACTTCTTCTTTTTAAACTTTACCATCAACTCATAATTCTTCTAGTTTGCCAATGATGCTTTAAGTTTGCCCATGATTCCCACAAACATTATACAACTCCAGTGAAGGACCTAAGAGGTAAAGAAGTTCCTGGTACCTGATATACTAAACTCTTAATTTAGACATGCATAGTTTTCATAAAACAATAACATTAAGAAGAATCTTTTTTGTGTATGTGTGAGGAAGACTGGCCCTGAGTTAACATCCATTGCCAATCTTTCTCTTTTTGCTTGAGGAAGATTGTTGCTGAGCTAACATCTTGTTGCTGAGTAACAAAATTCTAGCCAAAACATTTTCTTTCAATTAAAACTCAAGTGAAACAGTGATTTTAATTATTCAATTTAGGAGGCCTATAATAGGCACCCAAAGTTCTCTCATGCTCAGTTACCAATGCTCATCTAAAAGAAGTGCGACGAAAGTTAGAAAAAAAGGTGCAAAATTTAGAAGAATTTAATTCATCAAGCCAGTCCTGATGGCCTAGTGGTTAAAGCTGCTCACTCTCACTGCTTCAGCAGCCCAGGTTTGGTTCCCAGGTGTGGAACCACACCCCTCATCTATCAGTAGCCATGGTGTGGCGGCAGCTCACAAAGAAGAACTAGCAGGACTTACAACCAGAATATGCAACTACGTACTGGGGCTTTGGGAGGAAAAAAAATAAAAGAATTTAATTCATCAAATTACCATGAACTATCCATGAGGTAATCTTCTCTGAAGGATGCATCCCAGTTCCATCAACAGGATTTTCTGATTTGCATAAGAAGGTCCAGTTAGACTACATCTTCCAAATAAAACCCAAGACAGAGATAGGAGCAGCGGCCCATGCATGGAATTTATTGTGTGCTACTGTTTATAAAATATTTGAATAGTCCTGCACATGCATAATATTTCCAACTTAGACAGGAGACCATACAGGGTGCACTTTCTGGCAAACAAAACAATAGATGGTTCCGCTGCCTGGAGCTCTGAGTTGTATTCCAGGGCATGAGGGAAGCAGGCCACCAAAGTAAAGGGAAATACCAAACTACAGTGGTAATCAATACAGATCAATAATTGTGAAAAATTAGCACATGATTCCATTTAGTTTAACCAAGCAGTTCTGTAACTATCAAAAGAAAATGTTCAACATGCAGTCTTGACTTTTATGCTTCCACTAACATTTGAATGATTGAACAGAACCATTGGTTCTATGCTGCATTGCTTAACCAAAAACACTTCCAGAACATTTTAAAATTTCCTTTGCATCAAAACATAAAAATGATAGAAAGCCAGCAGCAAATCACCCTGGTGGCTATTGAAGCAACTTGAGTACTCACAATAAACTAAAATTTCTCATAACATCTAGGTAACCTATACATGTCGTACCTGTACATCATAGGTCTATATATTAAATATTTTCAAAATGAAAACATGCATACACAAAATACGTCAAGTTTTACAGACATGATTTGAATTAAAATTTACTTTGACAATGTACAAACTTCTTTTAAAGTACCTTAAATGATTAATTCTGTAATTCTTTATAATTTTGAAATTTAGAGGTTTTCTTCTTAAATCTCTGGGGTGTAAATCTCAAAAGATGTGGGCAAAAAAAGATTCTAAATTGGTTTTTGGATTTGTGTTCAAGTAACAGAGTCTGCCTAGAAATAGGTTATGCATTCATAATTCAAAAATACCAAGACTATATTACAGAATTAGCCACATTTAAGAACTATAAACCTGACATCAGCATTTTGTATAAATGCCAACTGGGTTTCTCAGCATTTTGCCCATAACTCAAAATACAGCTTAGTAACCTCAGAAATGTATTTTAAGACCATGCTAATTCATCCTTTAAAGACATTTCATGGGGGGGAAAAGTCCACATGAGCTACTACGATTGCATTTGAAGTCAGGGTTGAAAAACAAAATCTAATTCTACCGAGGGGAAAAAGAAATCTCATTTGTAAACTTAAATGTGTGAACCACAAGCATAAATGGAGGTGTAGTTGCCCTCCACTGGAAATTGCCCCAAGCCCCTTGCTCACTGCTCTCCACATTGGCAGCGATGACCCAGTCTTATCAGATAGCACAACATGTCCCAGGGCCCTCAAGCCTCCATCTAGGAAGGGGCCGGGGTCTCAAAAGCACAATGGTTTCTCCGGAGGGACTGTGACATTTACAGTCAGCTTGGCCAACCCCTCCAGCTCCTCGGGTGATCTGTCCATTTGGGGCCCGAGATGTGAGAGTCCCTGGGAAGCCGTGGGTCACTGGGCACTATGGTTGCCAGTCCCGTGGTTCTCAGTGGCATGTGCGGTGTTCAGAGAATTGAAACCATCTTGCTGTACAGCATCTTTCCGGGGTGGCATTCTCTCATTGATCCTATCCAAACCCTTTGCCTCTTCAAAACTGCAGATTCTATGTGGTGGAGAGAATCCTCGTATTGCTTAACAAAATGCAAATTTGATAAGTCAGTAATTGAAAAACATTTCTGAGATTTCAAAAACATAATTAATGATTTTTAAGAAGAAAGAAATTAGCTGTATGTAGCAACATTTAAATCTTACTTTACTGAATCCTATCCCCATTCCAGACTTCCCTTTTAAAATGTGAAATGTTTAAACCTAAATATAAACATGATAACTTCAAAGACGATAAGGTTAACATAACCTTTTAAAAAAAAAAAAAACACAAAAATAACCTTCCCTTGCCCCCACAATCAACCTCCAAGCAATGGTCTCAGGGCCTCAGTCTAACTTCTACTACATCAATTATCTCCTACCTCGGACTCTAAGATCACCAATGACTAGCATAGTAAGGCGGCAACAAGAGTAGGGGCAAGTGAGGAGGCTAAATAAGGTTAATCCTCGACATACAAATCTGTTCCAAGAGCTTGGGAGGAGAAAGACATAAAGTTAAGTTAAAATTTAGCAGATGAGAACTTTCTTGGAGGTCAAGGTATCATCATGCCATCACCACCAATATGAAATGAAAAAGGTGGGAAATGCCTCCAGGAGTTAGATGTGTGTTTGGCTGACAGCAAAAAGTATTTATAGTTCCATATTTTAGGAGTTGTCTTCCTTAATTCACTGGCTATTCACTGCATGTTCTTTGGAAACCAAAATCAAAATAAATGGCAATTCTCCTCTAATTGTTATGGTTTCTCATTCACTTCATCCGGAATGATGCATCCTCCATTATTAAAATATGCATAGAAACAATTTCCACCCTACTGGTTATAATCTGCTTGCTTTAATATATGCAATCCTTGGGACTCAGAGTCTGTGCATGTGAACCAAATAAATGGCTGGGGCAGCAAAGCATTCAGTGATGTGTAATATATCAAGCCAACACATTATATACATAAATATAATATTATCAGCAAACACTATCCCAAATTGCAGCAAAAAAAAAAAAAAAAATCATAGTGACAGCTCCTGCACTCTTAAGTGAATTACAGGAAATGAATAAAAACAAACTCAAACCTATATTTAGAGAGGGTTTCACTTAGGAAAAAATTATCTGCATAGCATAGAATCATGCAAAATATGGAATAGATCTTTATTTGCAACTTTAAATGCTAAATCATAGCACAACATCATGCTGTACTCTAAACAATTTTAAAGAATTCAGGAACATTAACTGCTGATTGCATACTATACTAGAAAAAGGAAAAAACCAGATTGTCACTATGGAAATCAGCCCTTGTGATTTAAAAAAAAAAAAAAAGGAGGAATGTGACTGTTAAACTTGATGAGTCAGTGAGTCTAATTCATGGCCTGTGCAAGCTAGGAATAAGACAAACCCACAGGACATTCTCTGATGCCCACCCACACACCACAGATCTCTGCCCAGTGCAAGGACTCTGATCATACCTTTTTCAGCCTCAATAGCCTCAACTGTGGCTGTACAGAAGTGAGCAGAGGCATGCAAAATGAATGAGAGAGATGAGAAGGGTCATATTGTACAGCAGAAAAGGCAATGATCACTTAAAATATCACAATACCCCATACTACATCATCATTTACAATTTAACATAAATATTACCCATATTAGAGAGTCCCATCCAATTCCCCAAATCCTGACACAGCACAGTTTACACACAGCACTATGACAACATCGCTCAGAGCACAGAACACACAGACCTATTGTAAACACAAACACCTCAGCACCCATGCAAATGCACTCCAATATTAATTACCCATCTTGAATTCAGTATTTTGATGGCCTTAGAATTTTCCAACAGGCTTATTATATCACAATCACAAGGAAGTTCTCTAAGGTGAAATTATGATGGTAGATTTGTGGCAGAAGAGCAAACAGGAGACTGTTTTCCTTCATGTCTAATTGAAATAATACTCATCATCAGTTGATTCCCTGAGATATAAACTAGAAGGGGTCAACAGTGCTTTCCTGTCACTTCTAATTCATAGGGCAAAACATAAGCTGCAAAAGTTGGTATGGCTACAGTGAAATTTAAGGGCAGTAAACATGGTAAGTTACTCTAAGTAGAAAAGTTCTATAGTTCTCTTCTTTGTGGGTAACCTAAAAGGACTCCTCTTGTCTACTAGGTACTTCCTTTCTATTCCAACATTGACGTTCCAAATATCTAAAGATATTAACATCTATAGCCCTAAAAAAAAATCCACTTATGTTGTTTATCATGAACTCAAATCTGCCTCAGGTAGTAACAGCCCGCATTCTCAAGCGAAGATAGAAAGGTTACTGAGCATCTTTTCAAGCCCATCCACTAACTAGAAAGGAATGAAGAGAGAGAATTAACTTCTTACAGGCAATAAATCCTAATTATTTCATGATATGGACATACATACAGGTCATATAAATGAGAAATGCATTCTTGGTATAGTTTGTCTCTGCTCCAGTTAGAGAATCCCAACATGTTTAGTCATACATTTTATAGTCAAAGATTCTTTGGCTCATTTCTGGGTTCAAACTGTATAAGGCACTGACATTCAGGACCAAGACCAAAGATTGCAGAGGACAATATTGCCTGATAATAATGCCAATTCTCCACTTTATCTAAAGTGCACACACTCAGAATTATTTATACCAATAATGCCCCATCCCTTCTATTTCACTTCTTCTACAATAAGGCCAAATAGAATAATCATTCCTGAAATGACTTTTTAACAGCACAAATGATTTAGAAATGATAAATTTTATCCAAAGCAGTTATTAATGTGGAAGGACTCTGATGAATCAAGGAATTAAAGTAGACTAAATTAGACAAGTTTGTTGACCTTAACCAGACAGTAAAGTGAATTGGGGAGCCAAAAGAAGTAGGATGAACACTGAATGAAGGAAAAATTAATTTTCCTTAACTGTTAAATTATACCACAAATCAAAGCAGACATACTTATTGTATACCCACTGTACATATCATCATTTAACAAAATCCAGCCCTGTACACTTGGAAAACACTCTTGGAATTTGCCCAGACAGAAAACTATGGGATAAATGACTCACCTCTACTTGATTAGCCCCGGAATTCCTATTCTTCAAAATGTGAACTATTTTCTTTATAATTTAGAAATGGAATGAGGAAAAAATAA